AGGTCTATCAAAGGCAAATCAAGATTTAGCAGCAGCAACAACAGATGTAGCAAAGGCAGAAGCCCAAATAGCAGTTGAGGTTCATGAAGCACTCGAACAAGCGGTTGGAAAGTAGTTCCACAGAAACCACTAGATATAGGCAAGTTATCAATGTCTCATGGTTTCATTATGTTAATTACCATGGATTATAATCTTGCATATTAGTTGAACCTCTACAAACCAAACTTTAGGCCCAAAAAACCAATTAACTTTATACACCCAGCCTATGAATTTGGTCATCTGAGTGTCCACGACCCTTAAGACGAGGCTTTCTTTATTCCTTGTTTTTTCGCGTACTTATTTTTTGAAAGATAATGGGAGGAGGGCGGAATCAAAATAAATATAAAATTTTGTTGTCTTATTTAGCAAATAGTTTTGCTAAAAACATCCAGATGGAGGAGGAAATAAATATAAAAGTTTTATTGGTGAATGTAAAGTAAGATGGTTAAATGCTTCAAATTAAATAATTAGAAATAAATATATATATCTGATATATGGAGATTTCAAGGCAGCAGAAGGCGTAATAAAAATAAAGAAAAACATTTTTTTTTTTTCTGAAATTTCCACTTTTTTGTGGCGGCGGATGCGCTAATTGGCCATAAATAAAATTTAATTTTTATTGGAAATCATCAGTATTTGCAGTCAGCGGGTTCGCTGAACAAGGTACAAAAAAAGTGGCCTAGAATTGGTTAATTAATTTTTGCTACTTGGGGTTTTTTTTTTTTTATTTACGCTCCCTAAAACTTGTAATGAGAACACAAATTTTATTTATTTAAGATGGCCACTGAATATCAGGTGATCTGAATATGGTAAACTAATATTTTTAGGGTAACAATCATTTTTAGGGTAACAATTGTCTCCCTGTCGATGGTATTTAATAAGTTGGAATCACTTATGTCCATAGAATTCTTACTTGTGCCCAGGGAAAAAAATGTAGCAAGCAGCATGGAAATGTAATCCCCACTACTTTTGTTAGTCTTCAGTTACCAAAACAAGCCTGTAAATCCGTATTCTTTTTTTTATGTAGTCGGTTTAAAATATCTTAAGTAACTGCAGTCTGTATCGCTTACTGAACACTTATGATTATTAATACCTGTAAATGACATTTTATCACCATTAGATATCCAACATTTTGCATGAATTTGAACAAGTTTGGCTAGCATACCCCTGTGTTGATTATACAGTATTATTAGATTTTCTTAAATTAATCAAAATAATTTGTTTCATTGTAGGTACCTGTACCAAGAATCCAAAGGGTTGCAGTGTGCTGTTCAAATATTATCCACAAGGAGTATGTTTATGTTAAGCTGTTAGCCAGTCCTTACATCAAAACAGTTTCCAAAAGGCCTGATCTTTAGCTCCAGTATTAATTAAAATTGACACATGGTTTTCATTCCTGGATTACTTTGCATCAAAATAACACTATAATTCTGGCTCATGTCCTGTATTATAAACTTACTGGCCAACAATAATGAGAAACATGAAGGCAGTGCTGTTCTGTTATATGGATTAAATTGCTTGTTATTGACTGTTAAAAAAAAAATTACATATTATAGATTATACTGTACTACAAATTAATTTCAGATATCACTTACTGTGTATTTCAATAAAAGAATCTGAATATTTATTTATTTGATTATTAATGTTTCATTGCAATTCCTGATATATTAAATATTAGCTAAATTTGATTACTGAAGACTGAGCGTCCAAGCAATTGAGTTCGGTTCTGTACAGTCAAGGAGGTATTAGTTAAATGGAAGAATGTAAATCTGTGATGGGTATCCAAATGTCCAAATCCATGGCGGCAACAGCTTTTTACATCATACATAGAGAATACTGTAGCATACAAAGGTTCTATGGCTGTGTTTACATAATGCATGTTACGAACACAGATCTTGGGTATCGTAAATGCTCGAATTAGGGCTGCTCTCGAATAAATGCCGCACCAAACATGATTTTAGGCCTGCTTTGATTGGGTAGGCAGTAGGGCATCCTAGTCCCGGATCAACAAAGTAAAAGGCAAAATATGTTAACATTCAATTTTTTCTTCTTCACTTGGTAGAGCATTCCGAAAAAGCGAAATAAAACTTCTGATTTACATTTAGGAGATTTTCGGCAGCAATTATAACCTGAGCCTCCAAATGCGAGTACAAACAAGGAGGCCTTGGTACAAACGTTGTTCGTGGTTCTTCTTGCTAGAATGTGTGAATTGCAGTGGCTAAAGATAAAGCTACCGTATTAGCTGTACATACAGTATCTCACCAGCGTTGTCGTATCTCGTTCAGCCGTATCTTTTGACACAGCGAACGAACTACCACAGTATTTTGCGGATTTCCCCAAAAAAGACATGAAAATTTACATGAAGTTTACAACGAAAGGTAATAATATATATTTGTCTTGTAATGTTTTACTGTATTTGGATTACTTTTGACAATTATGAAGTTAAAAACAACACAAAAGGTGCTTTGGTTGATATTATGAATCAACTAGGCCGCAATTGCCTCGAAAGCGAGACCGTGGTCAAGCTACAGATGTTATTGCAATCAACATGTGGCAAGTCAATTAACAGAAAGTTCTATCGGATGGGAGCCTTGCCAACCTAGTCATTTAGCTTGCAGGGTGAAGCGCATGTTAACTATCAGGTGACCCCGTTCTATACGGTCGGTGTCAGCCTCATAACAGCTCTTGTTCGATAACTACGATATCACCGGTGTAACTTACACCGTCGGAACAAGGTCATATTCAGCATGTTTGAAAATTATAATTCAGTAGCCTATAATATGGATTATGAGGACCTTTCTTATTTTGTACTGATTTAGTCACTGGATGGCCTGCAAGTGTTGAACAACCGTGAGGGTGAATGGAGATGGAAGAATATTTAAGACAATTTATCTTCATAGAAAACAAAATAGAGCTAATCTTTTGTCTTGTTCAGTTATCTTGTATTTATTTTATTTTTTTTCTGGTTGTATAAAGACATCGCCCCATAAGATTACCACTACTAGTCAACGGGAATGAAATCTATTAAACTACCACCCGCTGTTTCACGAATGGTCAAACTCATGCCTGAGAGAATAAGTTGGTACTTTCAACACAGCAAGTTTGCTGTGTTTCGCCTAGTAGCCTTTTGTCCTGATGGTATTGTAATCACACGTAAATCCAGAGCATTTATAGAACATGAATCTAAATACGGTGTTGATCAATCTGTGTTAAGGGTGTTATGTTCAGAGTTTATATTCCTACTAAAGAAACATCCATGCCTAAAAACAATGGTCTGCAATTTATAAAGACAGTAGTTGGCTGCTAGAATTAGTGAAGCTAGTGTATATTTAAATATTTTGTTTACTGTTGTCGGACTGTCCAACCCTGACATTCTGATGTACCTTTATCTTTACGTTCAAATTACATATATAATAGTTTCAAATAATATATAAAATTAATAATTGGTTCTTCATGATTAAAATATTTATTTCTGTACTAACTTTTATCTACATTACTGTACATAATGTTAACTAACTTGGAAAAAGAAAAAAATTGAAATTTCAAAAGTTACATTTTAAAACATTCTCTACCACATATTAAGCTGGACACACTGCACTGACAGTTGTTGCCAACGCAATGAGGCGCGTGCAATGAATCACTTTTATTGACCATCAGTAGACAGCATTGCATCATCAAGTACTCGTGGAGAAAGGAGATATATATTTGACATAAACTGCTTGTGTCTGGCATTATGTTTGCAGTAAAATGTCCATTTTACAAATAGTCTTTGCCCCTGATGACGTCATCATCGACCAATTATTACCATAAAAAAAGGTCCGACTATGGATGTCTTACAAAGTGATAATGTATAATTTTCTTAATAAAATCAAGTTAGTTGTATTATTTATAAATAGTTCAATCTTTTTTTCCATTTTTGGTATAATAATCACTATTTTAATGTGATAAACCTAACCAAAACAACAAACTACCAACGCTAGCTAGGCCTAGGTATTGGAAACTGACACCTGCTCTAGTTTATAAATTTTTCAATTTACGAACACCCCTTGGTACCAATGGGTACGTACAATGGGCGTCTTACTATTTTGTTTTTTTAAACTTTATTTTTGCATCATGTACTGTTATCTGATTTTTCATGAACTTCGTCTCGAGCAAGCTTCTCTTTCCACAATGAGTGTGCCCACAGCAGATCTTCTTTCCATAACTCATCGTCAACTGGACATATATGTACTGCTTTTGAAAAGTTCCTTTTAGCCTATAAAAATGTAAAGACAAGGACATCATTAAGGGAATAGCTAAATGTATAGAATCCATTATAAAATACAAGTCATTTTGTTATGATTATAGTTAAGTAACTTTTGTGAGTTATATTACTCACACTTCGAACATTAATTGAGCAATAACAACATTTAATTGGTCAATTTTACTTGTTACAATTATATTTTGACTACCGTACTTCTCTGCAGGTACATATTATGCAGATATGACGGAAGTAATATTCAAAATCGACTATCAACTATCGCATGCCTATGTGAACTGCACACATCAGGAAAAATCAATTATTTTGTGTACAATGTAGACGGATTTCTGCTTAATATTTATGAGAAATAGTAAAACAAATACAACATGGTTTTATTTCGTAAAATAAATCAAGGATGATGGGACTATAGTCCCAATTGTAAATAGAATTCACTACTTCACATCAAACTATTGTGTATGGCGAGTCCACTGGTCGAGCGGTAAGGTAAAGTCTTCTCAGATAGGGACTTAAAAATAGGAGGTCCAGCGTACACATCTCACCCATTGCATCTTCTGAAAAGAATAGGGTTAACCTAATAATATGGTTCATTTCAGCCCATCTTAGTGGAATGATGTGAACTAAACGCCTCTATGCGGCTGCTACAGTGATCACGAACCACGCCCATACGCAATTCAGCACAATGACTCTTCGAGTTATGGTTTATTCTCCTACCATTCCCATTCATTACCTAGACTTGTAAAAATATTATACAAGTCTTACCAACAGAATTTCTCCTTGACCTAACTGCGCTCTACCCAGTGTTTGATACGCTTGCCACCACGTTGGACTAATTTTAACAGCATTCTCAGCTGACTTGATCGCTGGCCAGTGCTCATGTAATATCATCAAAACCTAAACATTTATATTAAAAAAAATAAACAGGTATATTTTTATCTTATCGTTTACATTTGTTCAGGCATAAATTTAATACAGTTAACAATGACTTTTAAAACTACAAAATACCAGGATCTTAGGAAATTAAATAGAATACACACATTAAACAGTTCTATGTACATTACAATGGGGAATAAAAAAATTAATAAAATATGAAAGATATTAATACAGTTTTCCTCTAATTAATGACCACTTTTCTTTGATCCTAAATTAACAAACATCTTTTATCTCAATTATTCTAATTCAAAACCAAAAATGCTAAAGATCGTGGAAACAGTGGTCCCAAAAGTGGTCTTTAATTGGATGGAGACATTTATATCAATACATTTATTTAATCAATCTATTTCAATCAATCTCTAATTGTAAAAATAATGTAAGAGCCATAGAGCTGAGCTGTGCACTGATGGAGAATCTCCTAAAATTGTGGTAATGTAAGTGTTGATGTCAAGGACCTAGAGAAGTACTCAAGTTGCAAATGGCAGATGATGTAAACTTGATAATAGAAAGCCACCAACCTGAGCTTTCATTTCATATAAAGTTTCATCATGAGGAGTTAATTGAAGAGCTTCATTCCATTTGTTAATAGCCTCCCAATACCTGCACAACAATAAAGGCGGCACATCAACTTTACATGTTTTTTATTTGATATTTTAGGGATTGCCAATAGAGTATATCACTGTCTTACAGGCTTGTAAAAATTGAGGGGGTTTTCTATAAGAGCCGGTGGTCTTGAAGGTACCTAGACACACTGCCGTATCCAGAAGTCTTGAAATAGGGGGAAGGGGGACTGATGATTACGTGAAGGGGGGGGGGGCCAGTTTGGAAAATAAGGTGATACTTCAGCGTGTTTCTTTTGCTTTGGACAATTTCAATGTGGAAAGGGGAGGGGGGACAGGAACAACCGGTGCTCCTTACATCCCTAGATATGCCACTGCCTAGATGCCATGGTTGGATCCAGAAGAAGAACTCTTGTCAAGGGGAAAGTTTCCTGGAGCTCTAACAGAGGGATTATCATCATGCATACTACCAAATTAGAAACCACTATTAAAGATTTGACAGATAATGGCAACAACGATTATAGACTACACCACCATCAGCAAAACGACCAACAATCACAACCAACAGCATCACAACACACACCCCTCTGGAAAGCTAGTAACATGCTTTGTACAGTGGTGGCACCAGTAGGTGCTTAAACCCCCATTGCACAGGTCAAATCCCCTACCAGCCAGAGCTCTTTGGGCAGTCGGAATTGTATTTTAACATCTTTAAATTTAATGTATCAACTTTACATTTACAAATTTATCAACTTTCCAATTATGGTAGCTGACACATTTACAAGGAAGATTTCCCTTTGTTGGCTTTTTCAAGTCTAAGAGTGCAATTTACGGTCATCCAGAGGTCCTTATTTATAAATTTTTAAAAAGTAATTTGCGAGGGGTCTCACAAAACCTCCCCATCTCGGGCCTTCTGCCTTCAGATGGCGCTGCAGGCCTAAGTTATTCTTATCTCACTCAGCCCCACCTGTCACTTGGACAGCTTAGCCCTCAGCAAATATACTCTACAGCCGCCACTGGCTATGTACGCTACCTCTCTGCTTCCGCTAATGTATTGCCCTCTTGTATCAGCCTCTTGCTCTTTGAAGATGCATCTTCAAGGCTGATTTTGAATCGTTTGTTTGTATCTAACCAGTCAAACACATTGCATTCTTCATCCTCAGTCTCGTGTGCTCCAGTATTTCCTTTGAATGCTAGTGCAGATGATTTGGAAACATGTTCTCCTATTTTTCTTTTCCAGCCAAAACTTGTCATTTTAAACCTGAAAGACATTAGACTTGATGCAGTTACCGTACCTGTCTCTTATACACATCTAGATGTGTATAAGAGACAGCTACCACATATTAAATATCGTAAGATTTTCTTTTTAGCAAGTCAATAATCCAATCAATTCTTGGGCTGTGTTTTGGCATGATTTGAGCTGCTGAGTGGAATAACATTCTTCTCAGGTGAATATCAAAATGAGGATACAGTATTTCTCTCGGACAGATGAGAGCTCCGATCCCCACACAGACAGTATATTTCCAACTTTCCTCTTACATATTTGTCAGCCGATGGCCAACAAGCTAACCACTACCCACCACCACTAATTGCATCTGCTATTTTGCTGTTATGTAATTCACAGCATTCTTGTCATGAGCCATGTTCTCTGGATGATTATCTTTTCCGCCTAACCACCATTCGTAATGTCCTTATATAATTTTTTTCATTTAAAAAGTGCTCCTTGAATTTAATAAGTTCCCATAAGAACTCCTCGATTTTCATCTATTTTCATAAGCGCCCCCTCAATTTCCACTCTGTTTCATAAGCGCCCCGTTTGAATAAGCGCCCCCTCAGAAAATGCAAAAAAATATTTTAAGCGCCCGGGCGTTTATTTGCATGAGTACGGTATTTGCTTGATTCGTTATTACTTTTAATATTATTATTATTATTATTATTATTATTATTATTATTATTATTTTTCTAACTGTAGTTTTAAGTAGTTTAGGTTCCATTCTGTAAGTGGTGGGTTTCCAGCTACTGAATGAGAATTTTAATAAATAAATAAATGACATCAATACTACACAAGCAATAGCAGGTGAGACATCATTTACTGTACTACAGACACATCAAATTACAAAAGACTGTTCTCAATTGACACCGCCATTACTGCAGGGGACCTCCTTGGGGTCTCCTGCATGCATGCCATGTCCTGTAGTACGATGTAAAGTGTACATTTCGATTGAAACGATATATTGTACGTGCTATGAAAAATCCAGCAACTATGGTGAAGAGAAAATAATCACTGTATAATATCAATATTAAATGAATTGGTAAACACAGTTTTAATACCACTGTGTGCAATGGGAAAAATATATTCATGAATTGAAGAGATGGACTGTTCCATTCCATCAGATGGAGCTGAGCTGACTTATCAGGTCTACTGTACCGTGTGTATGAGATTTTTTCTACACAATTTACATATGTACAGTATTAGGCTGTGAATAACCGCATGGTATTTCTTTTGGATGTTACCTTCCAAATAAGAACAATAAGAAATAATTTGCCCAGTTTTAAATAAATTCTCATTGTTTTTATTCGTATGGCAACACATGAATAGCCTCTTCCAAATAAAAATATAATTGCATTAAATTTCTTTATTAAACCACATCTCTCCATTCACTGATTCATTAATCAATTTTCCATCATACCTAGGCCTAGCCTATTAATAATAGTACATAGTACCACTGTACCTACTCTACTGTATGCTACCCTCCCTAACTACATCATACTGTACATTCATGCTATCAATTTAAATATCATAAATAACATTATCAATAAAATTATAATAATATATTATTTCTTTGTTAAATATATTACAATAAAGTACTACAGTATAATCAAATTTCTACTATAGGCCAAGGAATAAAGCCAAAATATAACTGTCCTGCTGGTCTAGTCTGCCATTGCACCTGAGCCCTGGCTACCGTAAAGTACTAGTCTACTGTTTCATCTAACTATGGCACACAGGCCTGGCCATGGGCGCAGACAGAGAGGGGTCAAGGGGTCCCGAACCCCTCAAAATTTAAAAAAATATCCTGGTAATATAGAAGTAAATGGTCGGTAATGTGAAAAAAAAATGTAATATATGAAATGTAAACCACCCTCCTTTTATTATGATTTACATGGAGTAACTTATTTACCCTTGCTATAAATCTCGACTTTTGTGCATACAGTAATAATTAACAAATAATTAAAAAAAAATTTGTTACAATTATGGAAAATCTCTGGTTACCTAGTATCGAGGTAGCAAATGAAATTATTGTTATTTATTACAGTAATATATGGTATAATCAGAGAAGAGTTTCAAAAACTCTTCCCTTGTATAATACAGTTCGACTTTCCTGTGCCTCTACCTCCTGCAAGCGATCACTTCTTTGATCTAATCAGTCCATCTGATACTTCTCGTAAGCCACCACTAAATAAGAAAACGCGAACACTTTTTGACATTTCTTATAATACCCATAAGTGACGACCACCTTAAAAGTGTGTAATCTTTGACAACAAATACAATCAGAAAATTAAATACAGCACTATAGGTGAAACACTAATGATAAAGAAAATAAAAGGCATCTCACATCCAAGAAAATGCTTGCAATAGGTAATAGAACATCATGCCCACTTTTAAGACCAATTTAAAAATAGGCCTTCGTTGGAGGTAATTTATGATCACAAAAACATTGGGCCTTCATCCGAGGTTTATGATCACGAAAACATACCTTCTGTTGGTGGAACCAGGGAAAGGTGAAATCTCATGCCAAATTTATTTTCTTGCTTACATTCATAGCATTCAGAATTGGTGAAACCAACTCTCAATTCTATCTTTTATCACATAAATTAACGCTATTAACGCGAATATTTTATATTCCGGTGCCTTCGAGCCCTTGACCAAGACGGCGGCCTTTGGCTTTGATTTTGCCTTGTTGGCCCCTGGTCCCCAGTCAGTTCTTATTGCTCGCTGCCTCACAAGCAAGCAAGGCTTGACCTCAACCACCTAGAATTTTACCTTGACTGCACCCCTGATAGATAGACCTAGGCCTAGCCTAGGATAAGCCTATCAATGCCACAATGGTTTGCTCGCCTCTTATTTTGGTTAGACGATGATGAAATGGCCTCACACCATAGAAAACAGGCTAGGCCAGGCCTAGGCTGGCTACACCACCACCACTGACTGTCTGAACTTAGGCCTAGGCCTAGGTAGGCTACTTAGTTAGGTAGGCCTAGCCTAGCCTACGTAACATTTTAGGTTAGGGTACGCCTGGGCCTAACTAGGTAGGCCTAGGCCTAAAAGGCGCGCAGTATTGAAACTAACTTGAAATTTTACCATGACACTTGATATAAGCCGTTGTACTAAATTTCGGATTTACATCTCAAAAATTAACCACTGTGGTGATAAAATTAAACTTTTTTGTTTTGTCGTGCGACCACATGGGGCCCCCTTCTTTTTCTCTGTTTTGATTCTGTTGACCTCTGCACTCCCTTCCTATAATTCCTTCCAATAATTGGTCAGTTAGATTTTCTCTAGGATAAGGGCGCCGCCGTGGGGTCGAGAGACTAGTAAACTTTTCAGAACTTGAACGAAAATTGACCACTCTATTTCGAGATCATTTTTCAAAATATTAAATTAGTAAATACTTTTTCTTTTCGTCAAGGGTCACTGCGCCTCTCAGAATAGCACGCTAGATAGATGGCGCATTATAAGTGCTGACAATATGCATCTCTAATTACAAAATAACTTTTGGAGGAAAAACAACAGGTTCAGATCATGTTCATACATATTTATTTCATATTTAACCAAATTATCTCCTTTAACAATTCCATGACAATATTTCCATATTAAAATAGCCTAATTTCAATTGGATCCAATAGCATTAATTATCTTGAATTTTTTGTTTTTGTTTATCCAATTTAGAAAAATAAAATCGATTTGCTCATGTAGACTTTACTTACGCTCTCTGCATATTAAATTATTTCAAGGCATCAGATCAGACCAAACTGGAGCAACACCAGTCTACTTCAGAAAAGGGAACGGGTCATTCAACAAAGTACTAGGTCTATGTGAGTTAATTTGTATATAGCTCTATTTCTCTTATTTTTTTTTAATCAAGCAAATATTGCCATAGCACTTGAAAGTTTACAAATATGTACATGGGATTTTTGAAATCCAGAGTGAAGAAAGCCCCATCTTGTGTATTGTGGCTGTGTTTAGCGGTACGGTACTGTTATCTTATCTGAGGTGGATCTGACATTTGCTACAATATTTGAACACAAAATTAATATGATTAACTATATTCTTAAACGTATTAAATTATTAACAGTCACACAAAATACATCAATCTTCATTGACCGAACGTAACAAAGTCACCGAGATATGTTATGGACAAATTTAAGTTATTGTAAATTAACCTATAGGCATCCTTCCTCCCAACTATATACAATGCGGGACTGTAAAACTGAGCATTTACTGCGTCGTACGTCAGTCGTACACCGTCGGCCGACGAATCTAACTCCTGCTGTGAGCGCCAAACGACGGATGCGACGCCGTCTATTGATGGTCTGTGGCAGTCTGAACGGATCGTCATTAAAAATCGATTCGTTGCGTGCGCGTCATGGCGTAGCGTACTCCATGATTCGCCACTCAAAGCCACTCACTTCAACCGACGGGCGCAGTAAGTGGCTTTATATTGGGCATCCGGAGGAGTTGTAACTCATACAATGCGATTTAATATGCTTGATGTGACATTCAATTGCATTGACTTATCCAATTACCCATTAAATAGGCCTATTTTTATTATTCTGTACTATATGATAACAACCCTTCCCCCCACCCACCACCCTCATTGTTTTCTGCTTTAAAATACAGTGATTACAGGTTTGCTGATTTTTATTTTGGTCTCACACAATGTGAACTGAGCTATTGCGGCCTGCCACTACATTAATGATTCAGTCATTTAGAAACCAAAAGCATTGAATCGAAAACACAGAATCAAATTCAAAGGAAAAAAATATTCAATACTTTTATTTTGGTGAAATGAAGAAACTAACAGAAAACAAACAAACATAGCTGAAAATATTCATCTACGGTTTGTAGATACGATGTCACAAATTTTTTCCATTTAAACAAGGTCAATTCAAATTAATTGGTTCAGTGTTTAACATCTTGTTTTAATACATTTTCCTTCCTTCTACTTTTCTTTCTCTCTCCGCCCCCCATCCCCCACACAAACTTTTCTTCTTATAATCATTATATCAAAATCATCAAACCCGAAACAAGGGCGGGGCGACTGGAGTCTCGGTCAGGATCCCGGTATAAAAAAAATTCCTGGTGGGAAAGTTTTTATGGCTTAGTATGGCCCAAAATGTGCTTTTAGACCACAATATTTGTGATTGGCAATCCATATAATAATATCTGGCTAGGCAAATTATTGGTTTTTAAAAGACCTTGTCGTGGTGGCGGGACTACGGGGATAAAGCTATCCGATGGGGAAAATTCTCCTATTCCCACTCTTCTTTGCCCAAAAAGAAGGGAGAATGCCAGTGAAACGTCAGTAGCGTCATTTAGATGTGTATAAGAGACAGGTTATGGACAAATTTAAGTTATTGTAAATTAACCTATAGGCATCCTTCCTCCCAACTATATACAATGCGGGACTGTAAAACTGAGCATTTACTGCGTCGTACGTCAGTCGTACACCGTCGGCCGACGAATTTTATTAAGAAAATAGACGAGATCTTTCGGGCGTAACCCTTTATCAAGTCAGTCATATATATATATATATATATACATATATATATCACACCAATTAAGAAATAAATCTCTCAAGTATTATAACTTATACAATATACTTGATTTGTCAAACCTAAGGTTCGGAAATAGTAATCTCACTTTTAAAGATCGTATTTTTTATCAATAGTATTATAGAATTTGACGGAGCACCAGCTGAGTAGGCCTACCTGATTATTGTCGTAAATACCAAAAATAAATACTCGCTTAAAGGATTTAATGTAAAGTCAGTGGTGTCTTAGAGAGCAGAAGCAATTAATCACCGGAAAACTAGGCCTACAGACTATAGATAAGTATAGATCATCACCAAAAATGTCCTTTTACAGTGTAGGCCTACACTTTTGCTAATTTAAAAACAAAACACTGTAGCTTAATATCTGAACTTGAAGGGCGCCGCCGTGGGGTCCGGGACCGGGAAACCCGGATGTTGTTTCACGGAATCGCGATGGGAAAGTATTATTGTTGTGCGAAACATTGCAATAATAATTCAGGAAAAAATCCGAATTTGACATTCCATCGCTTTCCGAAAGATGAAGAAAGGTAAAATATGGAACTAACGAAAAGACAAATAATATTTATTATTACTGTATTGCCAAAATTAATCGAATATGCGAAAGAGACGTCATAGGCTAGGCTAAGGCCCTAGTTAGGGCTAAGCCCTTAAGCGCCTGAAACTAGTCATCATGACATAGGTAGGCATAGTCATAAGCTAGCCTAGAATAATACTACTACGTCTAGAGTACTAGTAGTAGTCACTGACCGAAACATATAGGTCTAGTAGAGATCAGTGTTGATTAAGTAAGTAAAGTAGGCTAGGCCTGGTATACTAAGTAGGCCTAGGCTAGTAGTAGTAGTAAAATGGGCCGAGTTTATTCTCACGGCCAGCCGTGCAAACAACTCCAACCAACGCCTAGCAAACACTATTGAGTGAAATAAAGGTGTTTAAGCAGGCTAGTTAGTTGGTCTACAACTATTATAAACACAATCATTATCATTCTACTTATGTTGTAAATATTGTAAGATGCAACTAAACTTTACAAAATGGACTGCGTGTTTAACTGTTTTATGCAAATCCCCTACAAAGCCTAATCTATCGGCATCATACTTTGCTGTATATATTAACACATTTAATTTACTTTGAATGAAAGTCTTTTTTCATAAGGCATTAACAAAATTAACATTTGTTGTTTTTTTCACAGATGCTCTAAATGGCTTAAACACTGCAGAAAAGATTTGCAAAACAGGTCCACCAAATACCTGAATCTAAATCGCAGGTTATGCAGTGACCATTTTACGGAATCACAGAAATTTCAATACACAAACAAATTAGTATGGAATGCGATTCCAACAGAATTTGAAGTAACATCATCACCTAAACGAAAACTGTTAAAAAGATCTAAGCCACAAAATGGATTGGAGAATGACTCTCAGCTTAATACAATCACAGCAAAAGCTAAGACGATGAACTGTAAGTGCTGTATCTTCAAGCCTTGTTAGGTTTATCTTAGCCTTTTAATTAGACATATGCATTGTTGTTATGCATTTTGTGAATTAGTAAAGTATTCTAGTCAATAAATATACTTATTACTTATGGCAGGTGCATCTTTAGTAGACCATAGCTACTGTTATATACCTGATAGAGATGGATCAGAAGTCAACAACAACGTGGAGACCATTAACTCGGAAATTAATTCAAGTAATATTATTTATTTTATTATGATACGATACAATCATGATAAATATTTATTGTCACCACAGCATAAATACAGCTGTGAGATGATAATTGTATACACTCTAGTTAGTAAAACAATTACAAACAAAATGAATTTAATAGAAATATTATGTAATTTCTTAGTGAAGTATAGTCCACTATAGTATAACCACTACTTAACAAAAACCCATTTGGTTTCTTAGTCAAATCACAACGTGATTCTCTCGACTGAGTAATCGAATATCACATACACTAAACAGTAGCATATACAGTACAAAACGCATACTATATTTATGGGCGAATAAACAACCCAGATAGGATAAACAACTATTTTGGATAAATGCCTCCCTCAAATAAAGCCCCTCCCCTCCCTTTCAAAAACCATCCAGAACAATAAACGCTTGGTACGTATATGTTCAAATAGATACTGATATATAGGACTATATAACTTGTTGGCTTTTGTGGTACTGTAATTTTTATTTGTGCACTCAACCGTATTGTAACATACACCACACATGCCATAGCATACAGTTCACTTGTAGGCACACAAGTAAAGTTCTGTCAAGATTGTCAAATTGTTTTTGACTGAAAACTGTTGTATGCCCATATATAGTCATGATGTGCCTATATATGGTCATGATATGATGTCATCATGACCATATTTAGACATGTCACATGTTTGTGTCTAATTCTGTGAAATGATTTTGTATTGTAGGATCAGTTGCCGTTCAGTGCGAGTCTACATCAAACAAACCAAGCCTAACAGAGGTCATGAAAAGCACAGTGACCTCAAGTCAGCTGAGGAGAAAGTCAACGCAGAGAGTAAAACTATACAGGTTAAGACAAAAAGTAAAACATTTAAAAAGAGCCTCATTAGTGAAAAGTAATGATTCAGTCAAGGACATAGTTAGGGCAGCTGGAAAGTATCTCAAAGGCCCTGCTCTTGAGTTTTTTGAATCGCAATTAAGTATTTCTCAACGGAAGAAGTCGAGACAACGTTATACCAAAAATGACAAGCAAGTGGCACTAGCATTACATCATCAGAATCCTATAGCCTACAAATTTCTTAAGAAAATGTTTGTGTTGCCACATTATCATTCGTTGAGAAAGTGGTCGCAGGTTACCAAAATGAATCCCGGATTAAATGAGGAGAAAACGCCAATTGTGAGTGAAGTGGACCCCAATGTAAATAAGCTGGAATGACATTTTCCTAACGTTAATGGGTTATCCATCGAAGCATTTTGTATAATGCATATTTTGTATATTTTGTGTATCATTGCTTTTGTTCTTGTATTACTTCTGAATAAATTCAAATCTGAAATCAAATCAAACCAGGCATTAATTTGTGTTTGCTTGATGAGATGAATATTAAATGTGGTCATCTGCACTATGATGTCCACACAGACATCATAGGATGAATGGAGGACTTCGATGACTAGGGAAGACCGTACAAGTTTTGCAATGCAGGCCCTGGTGTTTATGGTCAGGTGTATCACCATAGAATTCGATCCAACTCGGCCACAAGTCAACTCGGCCACAAAAAGTTTGGCTACAGTCAACTCGGCCACAAGTCATCTCGGCCACAAGTCAACTCGGCCACAAGTCATTTACTGGTACTACATTGTACTAATTGTTATTATTATTGCTGTTATTATTGTTGTCATTGTTGTTATTATTATTGTTGTTTTTATTACCGTTAGTTTTAATATTAATTATTAGTCTTAGCATTAACATTATATATTGTTCAAATTTTGGCTGATATTATTATTATTACAGTACCATATAAATAATAAATAATTTTCGATTTTTTATTATTATTCATATTATTATTTATTAGTCTTAGTATTATAATTTAATAATAGTAATTTAAAAAGTTGTTGTTATTGGCGTTTTATTAGTATTTTTCTCATATTATTATTATTGTTGTTGTCACCTTTATTATCGATATTATTACCCTATTATTACTAAGTAGGCCTAGTATTATAAGTATCATTATTATTACTAATTAGTATTACTATTATTATAAAAATAAACATTATCTTTAATTTATTATTGTTGTATTATTGCTATTTTCACCTTCAATATCGTTATTATCACTAATTAGT